ATATCCCTAACGGGCTTCCGTAGAAGTGAATGCTTTAAGCACTAGCAACCTGCCCCGTCTTTGTGTTGTGGTTCGAGCCTAATGTATATGGTTTGTCATTACCCAGCCTACAAGGACCAGGGACCAGGAACCTGTAATGTGACATTCTCCCAGTGTACATCTGAATACTGCGGGTAAGTACTTTTCGTATCCATATATAGCGAATATCACAAGTAGCCTACTGATATCAATTATATCAACACGAGTTGATAGTCACAAATATCCGAGGCTTGCTGCTGAGGATATTTTACCTTTATCAACGAGTGTTGATATAATTGATATCAGTAGACACGAGGGTGAGATTCTATTTATCATCAAAAATCATTTTTCATTAGTTTTATTGAAAAATGTACATCTCTCAACACTGTACTATCATTAGACTTGCAGTGCAGTGATGTCATAGCATTGTGACGTCATCAAGTTGATGGCGTCATAGCATTGTCGTCAGCATTGTACAAAATCTACTGTCAAAACGATATCTCCTAGAGATATCATATGATCTTACACAAGCGATATCTCCCTGTGGAACAGTTTTGGATGATAAATAAATATTATTAACTTATGGAATGTAAGTATTTTGTTTCCATAGGAATATCATCGCACCCATGTCATCGGGATAAGTATCGTATTGTGGCTTCATCGAATCGTTACTCGTCGCATTGTGGCTGAATTATACCGATGTGACTTGCATCCTTAACACACTCACTAATGGTATCGTTACACCTGCATATAACACCTGTATATACGATTTAGAACATGCGTAGACTCGACAGCTGTTACACCTGTATATGTTACAGGAAATATGTATAAGCAGTAAATATGTATAATTGCTGAAAATTTCAGTAATTGTGTATAATGTCTGATTCGCTCAGGAATTATGTATATTTACTGAAATTTTAAGCAATTATACATAATTCCTAAATTTTAAGAAACAAAATCATTCATATTTACTGAAATCATTTGAATTTCTGAAATATTGATATTACTCTTAAAGACATTCTGGTATTCATAGATATGTCCATGAAAATATATTTTAAAGAAGTTAATAGTTTTCGATTTGGGTAGTTATCCTTGCTTTTCATTGGTTGTGCGGCTCAACGTTCTGTCAAAGGACATCTAGCGGTACAGACACTTGGTTGAATAATTAGATATGTTCAACACTACTTTGTTGTAGTTGCAGGAGTATGTTTATATAACTATGCTGAACAACATGCAGAGCGAGTCGGAAAGCTTGCACTAGACCAGGCTCTTCTGAGCGCATTTGTTTACAAACAAGAAAAAAGTGGATATGCAAATTAGTCTGTGGCAGTGATCTGCGAAGCCAATACTGCGCCAGAGTGTTTGTTTTGGTTTTCACCGGATTATGATAAAGTCCGATTCGGACAGTAGAGCTTTCTTATAAGTGTGAAAAAAGGTTTTCATCTGTCGCCTTATTTTTCAAGACCGTTCTAACCCGGATCTTCACGGGTGATGATAGATACTTTAAAAATGTCCGATCCAGTTCCACCTCCTTCAGTTTGCAACTGTATTGCAGGTTGTACAAAGGTGATACTCTCATTTCAGACTCCACTGTCCAAGCACCTGTCTTGGGGATTCAACACCGGTGTATGGAAGTACAACATATGCATCGGTTTGTGAATAAAACAGACAACTTCTACTTGTATGGCCTTGGCAGCCTGCTATTCATCATCCTCTTCGAGTCGTTTAAAAATATAGTTATGTCATTGAATGCAGGCATTGCAGCTGATTCTGATTTTAACACCTACTGCATCTAAGGAGTTGTAACGAATCTGTCAAGTTGCTAAAAAGAAATTACACCACAACGCCCTGTAATTTACTGTGACGTCATCAGTTATAATGACGCATTTAATGTCAAAACACACTCGCTTTTGTATTCTGTTTAATGAGTACGTTTATGTGATGCCGATTGGCTTTAAATGTTCATGGCGTTGCAAATGTCAAAAGAGATCTTTCCCAGCGTGTACGTATGTATCGAAACACGAGTACAAATTTGGCACTACATACCAGCCTGGGAACCGTCACAAGAAATGAGAGTCGTGTTGAGCGGTATTCTAGTTGTGTCACCTAGCGCTTCAGTGAGGTAGTGCTTTACACGCATTTACTGTTAATTATGGTATTATAACGTGGTGAAGAAGTGATTACTCTCGTGTTTTCCGGTGTCCTAAGTATAACAATACATGAAGATCAATAATATACAAAGCAAATATGAAATTCTTTCATTCTTGACGTAGGGTATTTACGAAACGAAACATATCCCGATATCCCGATCTACAGCAATAACAGCACAGCATGATTGCGTGTTTCAGTCCTCCTCGGTGTGCCGCGCCGCCATACACGATGGTCTGTTGCCTGAACATGCACCAGGAACAGTGGTGTGGGAGAATGTTGGTCAGTACAGTCAGTTCACTGCCACAGGTTCACACGGGGTGACGTCACTAGCGTGAGTATATTGAATCTACATGTGTCTTCTTTTGACGAAGCACTTCTTACTGTATACGTCCTTGTAGGAATATTTGGTGGCCCAGGGCACCAGTCCGGCATTAGCAGGTGCTAGGTCAACGTTACTACATTCCGTTTGTGAGGAGATTGGTAACCCCCTTCCAACCCACCGCACCCTGACAGACATTTCCCCCACATGATGAAGTGTGTATGTTCTTCCCACCCTGACAGACATGTCCCCCACATGACGAAGTGTGTATGTTCTCCATACCCTGACAGACATGTCCCTTACATGACGAAGTGTCTGTTCTCCACACCCTGACAGACATGTCGCCCCACATGACTAAGTGTGTATGTTCTCCATTCCCTGACAGATATGTCCCCCACATGTGTATGTTCTCCCCTACACTGACAGACACGTCACCCACATGACGAAGTGTGTATGTTCCCCCTACACTGACAGACATGTCACCCACATGACGAAGTGTGTATGTTCTCCCCACCCTGACGAACATGTCCCCAACATGACGAAGTATGAGTTTTCTCCCTACACTTACAGACATGTTCCCCACATGACGAAGTGTGTATATTCTCCCTACCCTGACAGACAATGTCCCTCGCATGACAAAGTGTGGATGTTCTGCCTACCCGGACAGACAATGTCCACCACATGACGAAGTGTGTATGTTCTCCACACCCTGACAGACAATGTCCCTTACATGACGAAGTGTGTATGTAACCCTATCCTGACAGACATGTCCCTTTCTTTTACGAAGTGTGTATGTTCTCCCTAAACTGACAGACATGTCCCCCACATGACGAAGTATGTGTTTTCTCCCACCCCGACAGACATGTCCCTCATATGGCGAAGTGTGTGGGTTCTTCCCACACTGACAATGTCCCTCACATGACGAAGTGTGTATGTTCTCCCCACCCCGACAGACATGTCGCCCACATGAAGAAGTGTGTATGTTCTCCCTACCCTGACAGACATGTCGCCCACATGAAGAAGTGTGTATGTTCTCCCCACCCTGACAGGCATGTCGCCCACATGAAGAAGTGTGTATTTTCTCCCTACCCTGACAGACATGTCCTCCACATGACGAAGTGTGTATGTTCTCCCCACCCTGACAGACATGTCCTCCACATGACAAAGTGTGTATGTTCCCCACCCTGACAGACATGTCCACCACATGACGAAGTGTGTATGTTCTCCCCACCCCGACAGACATGTCCCCCATATGACGAAGTGTGTATGTTCTCCCCCACATGACGAAGTGTGTATGTTCTCCCCCACATGACGAAGTGTGTATGTTCTCCCCACCCTACAAGACATGTCCCCCACATGACGAAGTGTGTATGTTCTCCCCACTCTGACAAGCATGTCCCCCACATGACGAAGTGTGTATGTTCTCCCCACTCTGACAAGCATGTCCCCCACATGACGAAGTGTGTATGTTCTCCCCACTCTGACAGACATGTCCACCACATGACGAAGTGTGTATGTTCTCCCCACCCTGACAGACATGTCCCCCATATGACGAAGTATGTATGTTCTTCCCACCCTGACATACATGTCCCCTACATGACAATGTGTATATTCCCCATACCCTGACAGATAATATCGCTCACATGACGAAGTTTGTATGTTCTCCATAGCCTGACAGACATGCCAATTATATGACGAAGTGTGTATGTTCTCCCTACCCTGACAGACATGTCCCCAACATGATGAAGTGTGTATGTTCTCCCTTCACTGACAGACATGTTCCCCACATGACGAAGTGTGTATGTTCTCCCTACCCTGACAGACATGTCCCTTACATGACGAAGTGTGTATAAGGCCGGGTGGGACAACTTAGGAATGGCCAGCGAGTCCTAACTTGACACACAGAAGGAAGAGAGCTACAAAGACATATTCGTTTTCAGAGAGATCGTCCTTGGGGTACATATTATGCATTTTCCGGCTGAAAAATGTCCTGTGACAGTTGTATCAATGTTTTTTGAATAAAAAGATTGAACAATAAATAAACTCTTTTATTTATTATACGGCCCCTACCTCACGGAGTTACCTCCCGTTGCGCATGCGCACCAACTGGGTAGGCTCCTAGACCCGTATCATCATTCCTTCTGCTGTCACTGCCATGAACAGACGTTAGAGAATTCATGAGCCGTACAGTGCTGAACTTTCTTCAGAAGAAAACGACTATGTCTGAGACACCACCTGTATGTATGGTCTTTATTTGCCTATGAAAAGGAACAGTAAAGCTTTACAGTTGGTTGTTTCATAATTGTGACTTTGTATTATATTATATTACGCGAACTTTCCCGTGGTTTACGCACGTGTTGCTCTGCCATGGCGGGAAGTTTAGCGTGCCATGTGGTCGTAATATTGCGTATTGAACCAACTATTACTTTCCGTGGTAGCCTTCACGTATTTTTCAATGTTTTCTACGTGTATATATGCTGCTGGTCCGCCGTTAGCTACATGCTTGCGTGTTTGCTTTCAGGCCTTTTCATCCTGTTCGGTCTGTGGACAGAGCATTCCACGGGCCGACAGGCATGACCAGTGCGTCGCCTGTCTAGAAAAGACTGGCCATGACGCGGACACATGTACCATATGTCTTGGGTTTTCCCCCCGGGCCCAAAAGCGGAGGGCGGCGGACACGCTATTTTACAAAGAGATGCGTGAGGCGGGTGGGGAACTGACGCAGGTCCCCCCGTCTAAGACTAAGAGACAGTCACGTAAGGGAAAAAAATCCCGAAGCCAAACCCCCTCTCCCGCTAGTACTGGTGGTTTTGATATGACACTAATGGACAAATTGTTTCAGCAGCATATGGACTCTGTGAAGTCCCTCGTTCGTGAGTCTGTTGGAGGTCTCCGCCAGGAGTTCCTCGCTCACTCCGGACGGGGGGCGGAGAGTCAGGGGGTGGGATCGCCGGGCTCGGCTCGATCCCTCAGCCTTGAGGTGTCTGTAGACCCGTTGCCTCTGGCTTCGGGTCCGGACGCCTCGGCTGCCCCGGAGGGGGAGGTGCTCCCAGTCCCCCTCTCAGAGTTGGCGCAGGGACCGTTGAGTATTCCTGGTGATCCGGTCCCTGCACACTCCCGCCCCATGAGAGCGGAGGCACCAGTTCTGCCTGGTCTGCCTCCAGCGCCTCGGGACCGGGTCCGCACGCCTTCCAGGCGCCCGACGTGGAGCGCTCTGTCTGCTCTTCCTCTGTGCTTCCTAGCGCTAGGTCAGCCCACCGGGTCGGGGTTAGGGTCCTCTTCGAGGAGACCCAGCCTCTGGCTCTCGGGCTCGGGCGCAGAGTCGATGGAGCTTGGGGAGGTAGAGGAGCATGACGGAGGTTTCCGTTTTGCTTCGGCTCTGCGGGAGGTCCGGCAAAGAATTGCCGAGGGCCTACCCCAAGCCGCGGTGCCTGTTGGCTGCTCGGACTCGGCTGAGTTCCGCTTGCCAGGCGAGGCGTTTGCCCCTCGGCAGCCCTCGCAGACGCAGCTCCGCATTCTGCCTTCGTTGGTTCAGGACGTGGTCGAGCCCCTCTTGTCTGGTACCCGTGTTCGGTTCGACTTGCCGGATTTAGTACGGAGGTACCAACTTGGGGAGGACTCCCTGTTCGTTGTTCCCATCGTTGACGAGTGCGTGTTCACTTCCGTCGCCCTGGGGGGAGGCTCGGCTTCCTCCGGAGCAGCTCCGGCTGCTCGGCAAGGGCGCCTCACTCCACCTTTGCCTCGCGGTGCCTGCGCGCACGCGTGCATCGACCTACGAGGAGGTCTACCGAACGCCATGCAGCAGGTCAGGTGGTGGTCCATGAGGCCTACCTCTCCTCGATTCAGAGGTCGGCCCTGGAGGCGGAGGGGCATGCTGGCGACGTTTCGCCACATGTCGTGCTGCTCCGCCAGCTCGGAAGTTCAGGGCACACCTCGCCGCGACTCTTTGCGGTCTGCTGCGTCGACGGTGATGTGCGCAGTCATGGGGATGCGCAGGCTGTGGCTGTCGACGTCTCGGTACTCGGCAGCGACGCAGCAGACCTTGCTGGCCCTCCCTTTCCGTCTGGGAGCGACCCTCTTCCAGGGCCCAGCAGGTCATACGGGAGGCTGCTGCTGCAGCTACCTCCCTTCAAGGACTCTAAGGCCTTGTTGGAGCACCCGCTGGTGTCTCGCCCCGCGCTCCCCCGTGCTCCACCTTCCTCCGCCGGGTGCAGCCTACACCCGAAGTCTGCCGGGCTGGCTTCGCCGCTTGGTAGGGGTAGGCGGAGGAGCAGGTCCGCCAAGGGTAGGGGCAGGAGCAGTCCTCGACTAGCTCCCAGCCTTTTCAGCGGCTGCGGGAGGTCTGCCCGACCTCCCGTTAACCCATCAGGCTGCCGCCAAGCCGCGGTGTCACACCCAGTCAGCTCCGGCTGCTCGGGACAACGCGACGCCTCCTACCCCATATCCCAGTGGGAGGCCGCTTCTCTCTATTCCTGCCGGAATGGGAGAAGGCTACCAACAATGTTTGGGTGCTGGCCACGGTCAGCATCGGCCATTTACCACTGTGGAAGCGAGGGTCCGCCTCGACTTCACCGCCATACGCCGCGACCGGTGCTGCCATGTCAGGCAAGGGCGGACATATTGCGATCGAAGTTCAGGCTCTGCTGGACAAGTCCGTCGCAATCGAGCGCATTCCACCGGGAGAGGAACAGGCGGATTTTACTCCACGTACTTCCTCGTCCCGAAGAAAGACGGCGGGTTCCATCCGATTCTCAACCTCAAGGGGTTGAATCGCATGCTCAAAGTACCATCCTTCAAGATGGAGACACTGCGCCGGTGATCTCATCTGTTCAGCCCGGCGATTGGCTCACGTCAATCGACCTAAAGGGATGCGTATCTGCATACCCCATACATCCCTCGTTCAAGCAGTACCTTCGGTTCTCTTATGACGGGATGTGTTACCAATTCAGGGTGCTCCCTTCGGCATATCGACTGCCCCAAGGGTGTTCACCAAGCTCATGTTAGTCCTGGCT